CGGGCGCGAGCGAGGCGGAGCGCAGGACTCTGCCCGGGTGCCACCTGCCAGCAGCAGAGGAGGCTGGAAACGCGCGCCCGAGCAATTTATAGGCACCCAAGGCGCAGAGGAAGGGGAGCCGCTCTGGCATCTCATTGCAGCATCTGCTCCGCTCATCCCACTCAGGCAGAGTTTGGCATTACTCTGACAATGTGGGAATTTTTTTTTTCGGCCTCCCCCCGCCCCCCGCACATGGATAACAGCGAGATCCTCAATGCTCCCTTGCGGAATCCAGGCGATGGCAGCGCTCTCGCCGGACAGGCGCGGGGGGAAGGGGACAGATGTGCGCGAGCCCTGGAACTCAAGGGTCACACCTGAGCGCCGGTGTCACCGCTGCCAGCAGCCCCAGGGGGAGGGTGGGGAGGAAGGTTGAAAGGAGGGTGGCTTGGTTGACAATATTCCTCTACAGGCTCACCCACAATCAGTGCTTCAGGTGTTTTTTAAAAATGCCACTTTTAACATAAGGAGGGCCCTTTAGAATTTTCCAGATGGTAGATGTGANACAGGCTCACCCACAATCAGTGCTTCAGGTGTTTTTTAAAAATGCCACTTTTAACATAAGGAGGGCCCTTTAGAATTTTCCAGATGGTAGATGCGATTTTTTTTTTTTTTTAACCTTATGGTTTTCCTCGCCAGCCTCCTAAAACGGAGTAAAATGTTACTCAGAGAACAGCAAGGTGTGTTGAAAAGCCAAAGGACATTTCTCAATGATTTTAAATGAACATGCCCACCCCACAAAGGGGGGAGGGGTTGGTTCCTTTACAAATGTTGCAGGCGGTGAGTGTATACATGTATAACTCCACTTACAGGCTTACAATTCTAGCAGCCTTTACAACCATTGGGCCCGAAGTTGCATTTACTGAGGGGTGCTACATGCATGAGAAATTATCACTTGTGAAATGCCTTCAAAAGACTTAAGCTAAAGCAAGAAGCATTTACCAAAGCACTGGGCAAGCTCTTTTCCAAAGATATGGAAAAAGTCCTATAAACTCCGTAGCATATTTCCTGCCTGCGCACTGGGGGACTGGGAAAATAGAAAAAATATGAGAAGGAAGGGCCCCGTTTGCCATGAGAGAACAGGGGAAGGAACAGCCTGGATTTATAATATTAATGGAAAGCCTCCAGAGTAGATATTAGGCAGGTTATCCCACCAACACATACATAAGACACACAAGAACGGCTTGAAATAAACAAGTAGAATTGATTCGTAAATCATACTTTTGCATTCAGGAGCAATAGATGTCAATCAAACATGGGTGACATTTGCTTGTCAATATGGGGATGATGGCTGGGAAGACGGAGACTTATTACATCAGGGCGAGAATGGGAAATGAGAAGCAAGAAAGAAAGACCACAGCAAGCACACAAAACAGTAACACCCTGGGTGACGATCCTGTCGTGGGCTCCACAACACGGACACCTACTTCTCTGTTTCTTCTGCCCTGACCCTCCCTATTGGAGTCATTCTTTCTTTCCTCCTTTCAAAAGTGAATAAGGTCAAATGAGCAGGCAGAAGGAAACAAAGCTTCATTGATTCTTTTTAGAGAAATGTCAGCGGCTCCTGCAAGTCTTTCCTGGGAGAATGAACCCTGAGTGTGGGGCACCGGGGCTAAGCCTGGCCCATGTCTCCGCAGTATCTCTCTGCCTGGCTGTTGAAGATAGTCCTGCTACTGGGAAATACTCCTTCCCACGTCTCCAACCTTTCACTTTTATTATTTATAAATGTGCGTCTATATCTTGGGTATACGTATACATATATTTCAGAATATTTCTATTCACATGAGCTACCTTATTTTCATATGTTTAAGCAGCAGGCACATAGCTAAGTTCTGTCCTGGACACAATACCTATTTTCCTGATGCATCTTCTGGGTTGCTTCTCAGAAGTCACCTTTCTGTAAAAGGACAGGATGGTAAAAAGTATGGTGTCAGCAATGGAGAGCAGTGAGTTCATGAAATAAACTGTTCTCCGATACCACCAAATTATCACACTTCAAAAGATCTCCTTATTGCTAAAGAGAGTTCAGTGGGGGGTAAAATTGGGAGTTTTCTAAAGGTAGCATTGTATAAATAAGTTCTCATTGAAAACCTCAAGATACATGGAGTTTCCTCTTTGAAGAATGCTCATCTCATAGAGAAACCGGACAAGGATAACATAAAACAGTAGAGTTGGAATGGACCCTAGAAAGCCAGCCTCCACCTGCTGGCTTTGCGAATGGAGAGGCGGAGACGGAGCTCAGCGCAGAAGGAGGCCTCTGGGCGCCAGCTTGGCGNGAGTTTCCTCTTTGAAGAATGCTCATCTCATAGAGAAACCGGACAAGGATAACATAAAACAGTAGAGTTGGAATGGACCCTAGAAAGCCAGCCTCCACCTGCTGGCTTTGCGAATGGAGAGGCGGAGACGGAGCTCAGCGCAGAAGGAGGCCTCCGGGCGCCAGCTCGGCACGTCTCCTCTTACCCGCTTCACAGATACCGCGTTTTGTACACATTAAAGGTGCGCGGCAACCACCAGCAAAAAGATTATGGCTTGCTGAAGGCTCAGATAATGNCAGCAAAAAGATTATGACTTGCTGAAGGCTCAGATAATGGTTAGCATGTTTTAGCAATAAAGTGCTTTTAATTAAGGTATGTACATTGCTTTGGTTTGTTTTTTTTTTTTAGACATTATNATAATGGTTAGCATGTTTTAGCAATAAAGTGCTTTTAATTAAGGTATGTACATTGTTTTGGTTTGTTTTTTAGACATTACGCTGTGGCTCTCTTAATACAGTATGGTGTAAACATAACTTTTGTATGCGCTGGGAAATCCAGAAATCCGTGTGACTCACTTTATTACGATATTCACTTTACTGTGGTGATCTGGGAACCAAGCCCACCGTATTTCCAAGGTGTGCCTGCGCACGCCCTCTACAGCGCAATGCCAGCGCATCCCAGCCCAGCCCGAGACCTATGGTACTAGTCCCAGTAATTGAGGCTTTCCTCTTTCCATTTTCTCTAATGCCCAAACAAAGCTTGATTTTGCAAGGGAGGGCGCTAACGTCTCAAAGTTCTGCTGAGATCGGAAAGGTGCCCAGTAGCCATCACTCATCGTGTAGATACCATCTCCCGGGTCACAAGGCTGACCCCCGTCTTCTAGTGGAGTGCACCGACCTGGGCAGTGTGTGGACATTCGGTTTTTTAGTGAAGTTTAAATTATCGGCCTCCTTCCTTTTCTCTCGAAATGTCCCACCATGTCCTTTGGAAGGAATGCTCCCCCCCTCCAAGATTTTTAGGGATGGCTGGTGGTAGATACATTTATGGCTGGTGACTGCCCACTCTCCACTGCTTGAATCTCTCAGAAGGTTCTCTAGAAAGCTATTCACGCTTCAGCCCTGATTCTGACAGTTTGAATAAACCATCTGATATGGCATATTACTCACCATCTTTATATGTATATAATAATAGAAAATGTGTCGATTAAAAAAATATTTGATTTTCTTCAGTCCTCACCAGAGAGCCCAGCTCTCTCTCATATTTGATAGTATTAATTTTGGAAGTAGGCCCTGGAATCTAATCTTCTTCCCAGCACTTCCTGGTCATTTCTGAGGAAAACAGCAGGCCCCAGATGGGCCTTGGGACCCTTAAATGATAAAGTCCAATACGAAACCCCAGGGTCCGGGTAGGGTGATGATCCTGAGGTTCTCACCTTCCTTACTTCATTGCTGTCTCTTTCGGAGAACTGAGCAGATTCTAAGCAGCCGACTCCCACACAGACACGCACGGCCATCCATTAATCTTTACTGAGCACCCACTGGCAGCATAGCTGGGCTCTTCCTAGGCAAACAAATATTTAGTCATGAGAATTATTTCCAAATCTAGCAGCACTTAAACAGAAATAGCATTTCTTTTAACAGGAAAAAAATTAACAAACTCAAGGGCTATCTAGAGGAACAGACAAAAAATATAA